TTAATTTTTAAAATGTCCAAAGACATCTTTCAGGACGTGCCTGCTGCGGAAAATGCAACCGAAAACCTCATGGATATAGTTCTTCCATCAAGTCCGCATACGAACTTACATTGTAATTTCCATCAGATATGAATAGCAGAACCATATCAGCAGGCATATCTCCACACAGAGGCCACAAAATACCCAGTTATTTCTAACCCGTCTCGAATACCATATTTAGTCCGATAAAAGAAGAGCAAAAACAAATACCAAACAGGACCAGAATCTAACAAGAAACAGCATTGTAAACAAAGAAGCAAGACAACAGAAACCGTCACCGAATGCCCTACTGAGCCCGAACCCGTTTCCACAGCTTGACCCACTCCACCATAACCTCCGCCGCACGGGCAAACGTAGGATTCACCCTTCCCAACCTCTCCTTAACCAGCCCGGCAAGCTCCGCCACACAGTCCTCGGCCGTCACAGCCTTTTCCGACAGCTTCACTGCCTGAAAAAAGGGGACCATCTCCTCCATGAGCTTCACCCCTTCCCACTCCTTCTTCAAGCTCTCCACCGCATTCCCTCTCTCCTCCCTCCACACGTACGGAAGCCCGGTTTTCACCCCGACACCCAAATGGTCACAAACGACCTTCACGCACATTCCACTCCACAAGTCCTCCACCGTCTCCCACCTGATCCTCCCTTCTTTCCCCAGCCTGAAAGCTGGCGCCATAGCGGGCCCCACGAGGTCATTGTTAAAGCCCACATTTATCCCGCTAGCTGGCATCATGGCTTGGGCCGGGACAGTGAGAACAGCGTCCACATACCGACAGTTTTTCAAATCGGGCTTCAGGGCCTGCGTAGGCGCATCGTAATCAGCCAGGTTGAGCCAAAGCCCGCACGAAAGCCCACATTCGACCCCGGCCCGCATGCTGAAAGGGTATCCACGGACGAAATCGGCCCCCTCGCGGTACGGGTCGTAGAGCGTGTTGAAGAAGAAGGGAGTTGCCGGGGCCTTGAGATTGGTGATGTGTTGCGAAACGGCGTCGGTCAGATTTCCATTCGCGTCCTTTGCGGGAAAACAGTCGTCGTCGATTGAGATCACGTATTTTTTCCGGGACACGAGGTAGCCGAAGTAGCGGCACGAGTAGCCGGAGAAGGAGATGGAACTGCCCGGTGAAGGGCCCGTGAGTTTGTCTATGTCGGACTTTGTGTAGATGTCGAGATTGAATCCGCTCGGGATCTTGAGCTCGCCTTTGAGGTCTGGATCTTGAACGATTATTATGTGGAAACGGGAGAAGAATGGACGCCATTGCTCCATGAATGACGTGAGGTCCAATTGGAGAGCGCCAATGACGATGTCAACCTCGTCATCGTTAATGGTTACTTGAGACATTGTTTTTGGATTATGATGTGGATAAGGTGTTAATATGTTGGGAGCAAATTCGTTATCTGGAGAAGGCTGCTAGCGTTTGTTCAGGCTTTTGATTTATAGCATCAATGTTTTTCCGAGCATCCTGACAAGAATAAAGAAGTTATATGCAACTGTCAGAGTTTATGCCTTGCATGATAGGATTTCAGCGGAAAAACAACTTACGGGTGGGAAGGACGGGAACAAGGTTACGTCGAATATTAAGTGATTCGATGACAGAAAGAATTTCTTCTTTGCCAGTGGCTAGAAATAACTTCAGAATCTTCTCGTTCAGTTTTCCAGCTTTTAACGTTCTCTACCGATAGAAATTAAGATTTTCAAAAGGTTTTTTAATTAAGATCATACGAAATGAATCAAGCAAATAAGCATATATTGCAGGATGACTACATGCAAAACTAAATCGAGGCATGCTAACTTGAGGTCTGGAACTGGCAACTAAAATATAATATTAGTTAGGCAGAAAATGTCAAATAACAAGTAACAAGAAAGAATATAGCAAAGACTAGGAATAAATAATTCTTCCAAAAGTCCTGTTGCTTTCCAGAAACCAAGAAGCCAGAGAAGCAGTGACACACCATCTGGTTCCTTCAGGATATGTATAAACATAAAACATTTTATAATATCAGTAACTGCAAAATTTGCACCATTACTTGTTATTTTTCATGATTGCAATCAGAAGCATGTAGCCTTTCGACAATGCAACATTTCATCATCCGAGACTAGGGACATAAATCTCCCTACCTAAGAAATTCTCATTGCCCCAGTTTCAAGATATATACTAACCTTTTCCCCCATTGGAATTCAAAATTCCATACTTCCCTTGAGGAGTGTTATAATTGTCATCGTATTGCATTAATCCAAAACTTAAAAGCATTTCGTTGGGATCCAAAAACTAATCAACTACTTAGTCTGACCTGTCCACCTTCACGACTCTTTTTTCAGCACCAACAGTTTCACGGTTTAAAAGAGACACATGGAAGATCGTATAAAAAGGTAAATACGAGAACATTTTTAATGCAAATCTTTGAATTTCCCAGCCAGCATTAACTGCAAACAAAATGTGCAATCAACAGAAAAGAACACAAGTAATCCACAGAATTTCAGCAGCACAACAACAAACCCAGAATCTGTCCTCACTGCTCCCAGCCAAATTTCTTATAAGAAGACACAAGTCACTGAATAAGACTCATGATTGGAAAAAGGCAAAGTAAGAACTGGATAGTAGTCTATAATGGTTAAGACCCAAATCACCCAAAAATGATTTTGTAGCTAGCCTAAAGGCTAAATTTACACTCGAAAAAACAAGGATTGCCAAGTCCAACCACGAATTTCTTATAGTTGCAGAAAACGCATCTAATAATCTATGATCCATATCTCTATACCCAGAAACCAGAAATAATGAACAAACACCAAAACAATCGAACGGCCGAAATCGCACCAGCTAAGAAATCTCAATCTAAAATCAACACACATCAGTTCCATCCATATCTCTATACCCCCCAAATCGCACCAGCTAAGAAATCTCAATCTAAAATCAACACACATCAGTTCCATCCAAAACAATCGAACGGCCGAAATCCAAGATCTAAAAACAAAACCATAACTCGCGCGCGCACACACACACGCAACACGAATCATATGAAACTAGAGAGAGAGAGAGAGAGAGAGAGAGAGATTGTGGGCACAGGCATACCAGGAAGAGCTCGAGAAGAATGTGATCGGGGACGAAGGACAGATCTGAGATGCGAGAGAAGTTTATGAGGGCAGAGTCAATCGCGAGTGAGAGGAGCGAGGGTGGATTTCTCATTCATTCATTCGTTCATAAATCGAACGTGCTTCCTCCGATTATCGCGCGCTCGTCACAATTTTTTTCTAATTTTTTCTCTAGAAGCCCTTTATTTGTAATTGTTTATTTTGTCATCAGTTGAGGATCAAATCAAATTACCCGTTAATGGCGGGCGGAGTTGTCACCGTCGCAGCTGCCATTTTCGCAAGCTTCTGAAGGTCAACTACGTCACTGCAGGCGCAAGGTTATGAAGTCGGTGGCAACTAAAATTTTGGCTCCAATTTT